TGAGTCTGCCCCAACCTATACATGCACACATAAAATTATAAAATTCACTGGTTAAATAAATGGTAACTATACAGTTTAAAATTAAGATGAATTGTCATTTTTGTAGGCATAAGAAGGAGATCAGTCTTTAAAATGAGTAATTTGTGAATTGTATGGACTTGCATGGACATCTGTTCAATAAATTACAATAAAAACTGGGTGATACGAATTGTACTTCTCAAACTCAAAAGTACACACTGTGCATGTTTTTACCTAATATATTAATTTGTAATATGTCCTCTAGTTTACAAGTTTATAAGGCCCAAGAAGCTTCTACATTTCATCCCTTCTAAATATGTAAGATAGGTACATTTGATATAAGAGATAATCATATATGCCTGAATTAATACAGTAAAAAAGCTAAGATACTGTGAGAATTTTTTTTAATGATGGTCCAGAAAATTTTTCAAAAAATGCAAATTCCTATACAGTTATTAATCAACAAAGATTACATTTTGGTCTCCAAAGATATGATTCTTTTTAAATATAAAAATGTGAATAGTAACTTAGAATACAAGGAAACCCCATGGTAGAAATAAAATATATTTTATCATTAGGAATAATTTTTGTGTTGAAGTAAAATTCAGGCACATTTAAAACTTGTAACAGGTAAGGAGAAAATGTGTGGTTGGACCAGGAATTGAACCCAGGAACCCAGCTTCAATAGTCAGGTGCTCTAGCTAGCGAATGAGCTACCCAGGTTGATACCCATAGCATAACCATTACATATCCTTCCTTAAAATTATCTTCATCCTTGCAGACACAAACCAAATAATAGTTTATATTAATTAGCCCCTGAAAGTACTTTCACTTGCAAATCCAGAGGGGTCAATAGCATCAAATCTGTAACAAGGAAGGAGAAAATGCATGGCTGGACCGTGAATCGAAGAAGGGACCCCTGCATCACCGGTCAGATGCTCTACTCACTGAGCTTACTTGGCCTATATCCATGACCCATACCATTACACTTGCAATTGCATAAACTTAAAAGTATTTCATAATATATTGATTGATATTACGATACATATCTGTCAACTATCATTAACTAAAATCAATTGAAAAAAAATCAAAACACCAGTGACCACAACTAAGTAATTCTTAAAAACCATTATTAAATGACTGTTAACGGTGCTTATAAATTTCTAAAATTTAAAATTCTAGTTTTCCTGCTGGCAATTATTGTTGCCAGCTAGGAATAAAACTTCTAAAATAAATGCCGCATTTCTTACAGAGTGAGAAGTATTGTGGGAGGAAAGTTGATGAATATGTTAACTTTACAAATAACATGGTGAATTGCATTTTCTTCAATAAAAGCACAATTAAAAAAACTTAAAGTGATATGAGAATTACTAGAGTATATTTAGGGGTGTTAGATACAAGTCATTAGAAAATAAGACCTCAATAACTTAGTGTAATTAATATGTTATTTCATTTTTTAAAATTTATTTAACATATTGACTGCTTTATTTGAAAATGAATACTAGTAACAGCAAATAGTTCATTGTTGTGCTAATTTGCTTCAAGATTTCCCGACCTCAAAAACTGCATATTCTTTGAGGATCATACTTTCTTATATGATTGCCAATTTTTCTTAAAATAATCACTGGTTTTATATTTACAGGCTAATTGAATCTTCAATTTATTCTCTTTTAAGTAAAAATCTGAAAAAAAAAATTCCATTAACTTAAATCAGAATTCACTTAAACCTACATGAATATATCCCTTACTCAGATAAGTATACAATGATTTTTCACAACATAACGGTATATAAAACAATAAAACATTGACTTTATAATTGAGTTATTGTTTAAATTAATTTTTTTTTTACATAATATTAAATCTAAAATTGAATTTTAAAGCAATTGGTTAATTTTTTTCATCAAAGTGCAATATTTTCTTTGAAAAATATAGTTAAAAAGCTAAAAAATCATTTTAAAATATATTTTTTGAAAATTTGGTTTCCATGGCAACATAAAAGAAAAGATTTTTTTAAAAAAATTTATCTATTAATAAAACACAACATTTGCTATATATTTGCCAAATTTTAAGCAAATTGGTTGTCAACAATTTTAGATATTTGCATTTTAGTACACCATTGTGATAATTTTGTTGATATTACAAAACAACTCAGTCCTGAAGTAACAGCGCGCGTAAAACAAGTCAGCACACAAAGGGTTAATACTTAAAATATGGTAAAAGTCTTTCAGTCTTACATTTTTCTTGCATTCTTAATTTGGTTATCAAAAAGTTAGCAGAACTCACTAATTCAAGGTTGTGGTGACCTGATGAATTAAAATTTAATCTTGCCATCAAACGGATTAAGCTGCTTTGCTAAAGTTTAATATTACCCTGTGTTTATAATAAGAACTGCTAGTAAATGATATATTTCAGGATCCCTGCCCCACTGTGAGACTCTAGTTTAAGCTCCCTTCAAAGTCCGCCCTGTCAGGCTATGTCATTATGGAGTCAGATCAGAAGGATAAATAACCTGACTAGTGTGCTCCCAGTTAATCTGTATTTCAGGGTAGATTTATAGGGGATTAGTATAGGATTCTGTCATCTTCATCAGTTTTCAGACTTGTGCTTTAACCAAGCTCTCCTTTACAAGGATTATCCAATTTCACAGTCTGTTGGAAGATCATTTCTAAAATAAATGTGTTTTTTTCCTTGTAACTAAACTCAAGTCTTTTGATGTGATTTTTGTGTGTTTCAATATTTAGCAGGGAAATGGCTATCATAGCTTAATGCATTGTGTAAATGTCTTGAATTACATTTTTAGTTTTAAACATTTGCAAATGTAAAAAAGAAGGAATGTATCTAATGTTATAAGGTCTCTTTACGGATCATAATACAAGAATTTAACACATGCAGCATGCAGAAATTATGATGAACGTGACAGTAGGCATTGTCACTTAGTAGTAGTACACTGGTACATGTAAATATTGTCATAAAATATTATTTAAAAGAAATGCAAGCCTCATATCAACAAGATGTGTTTGTGAAATACTGATGCTCCCTTATGGCAGCTTTTGGTAAAAATTATAGTTTCTCAGATGGAAATCAAACTTCAAGGTCAAGAGATAAAAATTGTTGTTTCCCAAATAATAAACATACCTATAAAATATGAAAGCCCGGGCATTGTTCATTCAAAAGTTGTTGTCATGGATTAAGTTTTTTAAGTGTGGGTCAAATACCAAGGTCAAGGTCAAAGGGTCAATTAAAGGTACCAAGGGGAAGGCCTTGTCATTAGAAATACACAAGTGAAATACTAAAGCCCTTTCATTTTGACAAAAGTTTTGGCCCAGAATAAGGTTTTTCAAAATAAGTAAAACTCACAGGTCAAAGTAAAAATGTCAAAATTGTAGGTATTCAAAGAAAGGCTTTGTCAAAGGGAATACACCTGTGAAATATCAAAGTCCTAGTACTTTACTGTTCAAAAGCTGCATGTATTTCCAGGATGATTTTTAAAAGTCAGTAAAACTCAAAGGTCAAGGTCAAAAATATCTATTTCCATGGAAAGATTTTGCTACACTGAATGTGAAGTTTGAAAGCCCAAGCACCATATTTTCAAAACTTTTGCCAAGGTTAAAGTTTGGTGAACTCTTGCAAAAGTGCATCAAAGTCCAAGGTCAAGGTTAATAGGTCAAAGATGTTGGCCACCAAAAAGGCCTTGTCACAGGGAATATACATATGAAATACAAAAGCCATAGCTCCTAACATTTAAAAGTTATGGGCAAGGTTAAAGTTTAATGTCTTTGCGGACAAACAGACAGGCATATGGATTTCCTTTTGAAAAGGAAAATTTACTATATTGGTCAAAGGAATTTGTCATATGTAGATTCTCCATTAAGGTACCATCATACAAGTTTACTTAATGTCTGACAATTATTATTGGGAAAAAATTGTCCTACTCAAAAATCTTTTTCCTGATTACTTTTCTGGAAAGTTTGGATGATATATGAAGATAATGAAGAGTGAAGTTTGAACAGAAGAACTTATTAGAGCCTAAAATCGGCTCAGGTGAGCTAAAAATCAGAAGGGTGGTTGAATCATACACAGATGCAGTATAGATCATAATGCTATGGTAATTTTTTTGTTTGCCATGGGAATTTAGTTCTCATATTTGTATAAAATTTAACCTCCCCAAAACTTAGAAAAAAATGGACTCCTGCTTTAACATAGTAATGGAGAGTCAACATGATATAGGAACTACGGCTTTGGACAAACAATATGAATTTTTTTCCTTGGGCCCACTTCCTCAAAAATGGGGATACCAGCATTGTACTGCAAAATATTTTAGTGTGTATTAATACTTTGATTTGATTTTGTATTCTCTCCAGATTATTTTCGGTTGACAATTTTTAGTAGCTGTATTTTTTTTTTAATTTTGCTTGTCAATGACAACATGATGACTTAATAAGTTAGTTTGTACCTCAAATCAGAAGTACCATATCAACCTAGATAGAGAAAAGATTGAAGAATTCTTCCCGATCTTTAACAATATCCCAGTGTTGTCTGTGACAGTTCAACTCATTAAATATATCTGATAAAATGTTAAAAAAGTTAATCCATCAAAATTTAACTTCACTTAGAGCTAAAAAGTGTAAAATAGCTTTAGGAATACATTGATACACAAGAAGAATACAAACTTCTGCATCAAGACACATGCCAAAAAAGGCCAAAACGCCGGGGAAGTTGTGGTATTAACGCTGCTTAATCAGGCTAATGTGAGCGACAAGCTAGCGAGACGTTTACAAATGACACCTGTTATCCCGTGGATCGCCCTCGTATTCTTACATGGAGTCAGTGAATAATACGGATTTATATGATTGGCATATCTATTCACATTGAAAGAGAATGAGGGGTTGACAAGAGTTAAAGAATGCAGAGGAATACCGGTATATCAATTTTCCACGGGAAAAAGATTGGCAGCTAATTCATAAAAAGATAAACTGGTGTACCTTTAATGACTCGGGTCCCTGAGAGTGATGCTATCTTCAGTACAGAACATATCTGAAAAAAGAAACATGAGAAAACATTATTTTCTGCCATGGTTCTGAATAAGTATGCAGAAAAAAGGCAAGAACAGGGCTTAAATACCTGCAAAAAGGTGACTTTATAGTGTCAGAGTTTCTCAACTTTTGGTCGTAATTTGTCATAATGTCTAGAGAACAATTAACACAGACGGTTTAGTAGACCAATGGCTTAACCAAAAATTCCGACATGGCACTGGAATTTATAAATCATTGACACAGCATTGTACCCATTCTTATGGGACAACAAACTGCAGAAAATGTGCAGCTGTATAGAAAAGCAAGCAAGATTTCTATTCATTCGGTGCAAAATCTCTGACTCTACGGTAAAATTAATTCTCCTGCTTTTCAGAGAGATAAGCGAAGAAGTTTTATGACAATTTTTTCGAAATATTTTATCCTGGGTTATTAGGGGTATCCTGGAATGTGTAAGATATTGTTTTCCTATCTTTTGTCACATCAAAAGAAAGTTGTCCCCCGCGTGATGATATCCGCTGATAAAGCACTTGTTGGTCCCCCTGTGTTACCATAACTTTTACCATCCTCAGGCAGTAAGGTGGTTTGGAAGCCTCCTAAAGTCAAGTTTAAATACACAAACTACTCATAAAATCACCTCCCCCTTTTCAATTTTCCTTTCATAAGATTTATTCAAACATCAAGATCCCCCCAAAAATTAAATTTCACAAAAATTAAGAACAGTAATACATTTACTAAATTTGAAATAGAAGACCACATTAAAAGGCACTTCAAGACAAAGAGACATAGCAAATAATTGAACAGAAATTTTGTGATATTTCTCAGTTTTCATCCATTCTCAATGGCCACAGTGTCCATATAAATTGTGCAGAAGAAAGTGACACTGAATCAGAAACAGCGGGAGAGAACATGCATGCTTTTTTAGACGTGAAGTTATAAAGAACTGGAAGATCATAGGAACCAGTCAGGATTGACTCTGCTGGTCCTATCTCAGAGTACAATACTGATCTTTCTTCAGGATTCAGAATCTATTTCAATCATACTCAGGACTAAAAACGAATTTCACTTATTCTGAAATTTTAAAGTTTTCATTTCAAAAAGAAAGAAAAAATTGGTTGTAAAAAAATTAATATATTCACTTGTTGAATTTCCGTAGACCTAATGTTAAAAACATGTGACCTTCTTGATTTTTTTTAAATTTGAATTTATATATATGAAATCTGAAATATACTGGGGTGCAAACTCTAGTGAGAACACAGGCTGAATGATTGACAAATTCCACAGATATTAATGTCGATCTTTCACAAAAATACCCCCAGTGCAGTTAGTACTGACTAAATAACAAGAGGCCCATGGGCCACATCGCTCACCTGAGCACTGTGGCTAGGAAATAGTAGAAATTGGTTTATTATTGAAAAGTTTGAATCAAAAAGTAGTCCTATGACCAATCATGGCTTTGCTATTCTTGAGAAGAAGATTTTTAAAGAATGTTTCTATATATTCCTATGTAAAACTTTGGTCCACCATTTTGGCCCCGCCCTACCCCCGGGGGTAATGATTTGAACAAACATGAATCTACACTACCTGAGGATGCTTCCATATAAATATGATCAGTTATGGCTTTGCTTTTCTTAAGAAGAAGATTTTTAAAGAATTTTCCTATACATTTCAATGTAAAACTTTGGTCGGCCATTTTGGCCCCGCTCCTACCACCCGGGGGTCATAATTTGAACAAACTTGACTTAACACTACCTGAGAATGCTTCCATATAAGTTTCATCTTTCCAAGCACAGTGTTTCTTGAGAAGAAGATTTTTAAAGAATTTTCCTATATATTTCTATGTAAAACTTTGGTCGGCCACAGTGGCCCCGTCCCTACCCCACGGTGGTCATGATTTGGACAAATTTGAATCTACACTACCTGAGTATGCTTCTATAGAAGTTTCATCTTTTCTGGCACAGTGGTTCTTGAGAAGAAGATTTTTAAAGAATTTTCTTATATATTTCTATGTAAAACTTTGGTTGGCTATTGTGGCCCCGCCCTACCCCCAGGGGTCATGATTTGAACAAATTTGATTCTACACTACCAAAGGATGCTTCCATATATATTATATATTTCTATGTAAAACTTTGGTCACTTATTGTGGCCCTGCCCTAGCTATGGGGGTCATGATTTGAACAAATTTAAATCTACACTACCTGAGGAGGCTTCCATATAAGTTTTATCTTTTCTGGGACAGTGGTTCTTGAGAAGAAGATTTTTAAAGAATTTTCCTATATATTTCTATGTAAAACTTTGGTCGGCCATTTTGGCCCCGCCCCTATCCCCGGGGGTCATGATTTGAACAAACTTGAATTAACACTACCCGGGGATGCTTCCATATAAGTTTCATCTTTCCTGGCACAGTGGTTCTTGAGAAGAAGATTTTTAAAGAATTATCCTATATATTTCTATGTAAAACTTTGGTTGGCCATTGTGGCCCCGCCCTACCCTCGGGGGTCATGATTTGGACAAATTTGAATCTACCCTACCTGAGGATGCTTCCATATAAGTTTCATCTTTCCTGGCACAGTGGTTCTTGAGAAGAAGATTTTTAAAGAATTTTCCTATATATTTCAATGTAAAAATTTGGTCGGCCATTGTGGCCCCGCTCTACACCCGGGGGTCATGATTTGAACAAACTTGAATCTACACTACCTGAGGATGTTTTCCCATAAGTTTTATCTTTTCTGGCACAGTGGTTCTTGAGAAGAAGATTTTTAAAACATGCCACCAAATTTTGATTAATTCCCAATTATCTCCCCTTGAATGAGAGCATGGCCCTTCATTTGAACAAACTTGAATCCCCTTCACCCAAGGATGCTTTGTGCCAAGTTTGGTTGAAATTGGCCTAGCGGTTCTTGAGAAGAAGTCGAAAATGTGAAAAGTTTACAGACAGACAGACGGACGGACAGACGGACTACAGACAAAATGTGATCAGAAAAGCTCAATTGAGCCTTCGGCTCAGGTGAGCTAAAAACTTCACGCCAACAAAGAGCCCTATTATAAATTATCCCTCCAGATATATCATGCATTATTAAATAATTTAAATATGTATCCATATATGATCCAGCCTGCAATATTGTTCATATCTTTAAATATTCTGCTGATTTATAGATAAAATATTCTATTATTTATCGCAAGGTGATAGCATATACTTAAAAGCAGCTAAAACTCGATACCCATCATTATGAGGAGATTTATATTATTACCTCAATCATATCTCCTCAAAATCACAACCTTGCAAAGTTATTTTTATAATGAAATACAAGGCTGGAAACCCATAAGCATTAAGATTTACATATATTAGATAAATTGTGGCATAATAGATATGATAATGTTAGAACATAGATGGTGAAAAAGTTATCATAATCCGAGTTTGTAAGTAATTGTGGCTCATGTTCCCTTAGTAGTGAGACATTCCGATAAGAGACGGATTTATAGCCTTCCTTGAAGCAAAGGATGTACTGAGCATGTGCTGCCATACATCTTCAAAGCAAACTGGAATTAATATTAGCACCTCCACTGAAATTCCTCTTAAACTTTTAATTAAATTCCAAATACCCTTAAGGATCATACATCAAATTTCAATATTCTTAATAATACACACAATTGTTTGAGTTCAATCCCATAATGCTCTCTTGAGAGGCAATAGTGGGCTCCAATGGTCCGGTCCTTCTTTGCCTTTATCCCTGACCCCCACTCTAACCTGCGATGTCCTCTTATTTAATTAGGGTGCCTCCCCTCTATCCCTATCTGATCTGGATTAAAATGGTATAAGACAGACAAACTGACCTTTTTCATTCCAACTGCATAATCTTGTTGAAATGAAAAAACAATTTATCTTTGTTGCTTTTCTTTGAAGATCTGAGAGAGTGTTTACCCTGGATAAACCCTGGCATTCACTTTTCCTAAGTCCATACTTAAGTGTCATATTTTTTCACAGCAATTCAGTACCATGCCCTTGTGTCAGAGAAGTCTTAACTTGGAACATTTGTGGATAGAGCTGACAAGGAGATTATCATGTAGCTATTGTAATACTTCAACTCTGAATTATTAAATATTATAAAAGAAAGAGGGACCCAGATCTGTCTCACATAGGACATAAAGATTAATCAACGAAAACAAGCTAGGAAATTTTACAAGACAGTTTGTACACACTCTATTATTTTGCTGAAACAGTCAACCCACCCCTCCCTCTCCAACTGACATTTTCATATCTACAAATGTATATTGAAATTCAAGGCAAAAACATGAAATCTCCCACCCACCCACCCCTCCCCATGTCCCTACCGTGTACCATTGGTTTTCTGGATATCAAATGAGATACATGTATTCTACGTATTTGTCATAAGATTTACATCTCAACAGATGCTTCAAGTATATTTCTATATGTATTCTAAGATACAGAATAAGGATGGCTGCAAACAAAAATCTAAATATGATTAACATCATATATGTCACAGTTCCTGTACTAACTTGTATAATTTTTTCGTTGTTGCCTATGCCTATTTTATCAAAGTGTACTTTTTTTCAGCTATCAGTACTTCATATACTAACAATTCAGATATTCAGGTATTTAATTTATGTCTGTTCATCCTCCCCCTAACACATTAAAATGTCAGTAGGAATATATGAGAGCCATTGTTCATTCACTCTCCATATGAAAACAGTCATTCATTTTTAGGGGGTTAGTGTAAAAAGGTCGGTTATTTCCGCAATAAATGTTAACTTAATAACTGGGAACTGTGTATCAAATGTTATATATATGATTTTCTTTATATCCCCACACATGGATGAAGATCCACCAATCATTAAACCCATTTCCAAATCTCATTACTACAAAAATTAGGTTAATATAGCCCATAAAAAAACATATGTAGACCCACAACAGAGGGAAAAGATGAAGATATTAGAGGAGAAATTGACTAATGTAATTATAGTGCATCTGCTCAATTCATAAGT